GAAGACCTGGGTTCAAATCCCAGCACCCACATGGCAGCTAACAACTGTCCATAACTCCAGTCCCAGGGAATCTGATGCCCTCTTCTGATCTCTGCAGGCTTTGCACAACACGGGTGCACTTACATACATGCAGGCAATACAATCATGCACATAAAATAAAAAAAATAAAAATAAAGTTTTTTTTTTTTTAAAGAGCTTTTGCTTCAGCAGCTGGGGTCATGGTTCAATCAATAAAATACTTGGTGTGCAACACGTACATTAGAAAAACAAAACAAAGTGCTGGAGAGCTAGCTCAGTGGTTAAGAGCACTAATTGCTCTTGCAAAGGACTGAGGTTCAGTTTCCAGCACCCACATGGCAGCTAATAACTGTCTGTAACTCCAATTCCAGGGGATCTGATGCCTCTGACCTCTGTAGGCATTGCACAACACAGGTGCGCTTACATACATGCACTCATATACATAAAATAAAAAACAAACAAAAACAAAACAAAACCAGGCTTGGTAGAACACACCTAAGATCCACCTGTAATCCCAGCACTGGGGAGGTAGAGACAAGGAGATCTCTGGGGCTCATAGCATAGCTGGCAAGCCCAGGCCAGTTTGCGACCCTGTCTCAAAAACCAAGGTGGGTGGCTCCTGAGGAACACCATGAGACGTTGACCTCTAGCCGCCACACATTCACACACATATGTGGACTTGCACACACATAAGAACTTTTGGTGACTAAGAGTAAAACTTGTATGATTCAGGGATTTTTGTCTTGGTGACTAAATGGAAGAATTCTATGAGTGGGGGACTTTTGTCTTGATTCCTCTTTTTTGCAGCTACTAGCCCAGAAGTTGAAACACATTATATATTCACAATGTTTAGAGAAGTAATAAACTTCTTACAAAACCTTCTTCCTTTTTTAGTGTTCTAGAACACCAAGAACCTAACATAAAACTCCAGATCTTCAGTTTCCTTTTCCTTGATTAAATAAACCAAAAGTAGGGGCTGGAGAGATGGCTCAGTGGTTAAAGGCACTGGCTGCTCTTGCAGAGGACCTGGGTTCAGTTTCTAGCACCCACATGGGGGCTAGCAATTCACCTGTCAGCAGTTCTAGTGGAAGCTGATGCCCTCTTCTGGCATCTGTGGGCATTGCATGACACTGGTGCTCTTACACACATGCAGGCAATACACTCATATACGTAAAATATAAATAACTACATTAAAAAAAACACAGGAGGCTGGAGAGATGGCTCAGCAGTCATGAGTACTAGTTGCCCTTGCAGAGGACCTGGGTTCGATTCCCAGCACCCACAGGTGGCTAACAACTGTCTATAACTCTACTTCTGGGGGAATCTGATACCCTCTTCTGACCTCTGAGGGCACTGCATGACATGGGTGTACTTATACAAATGCAGGCAAGACACACACACACAAAAAATAAAAATAAAAAAAAAAACAAAGGTGATTTCTAATTCTCTTGGCAGCAGAATACTTTTTCTAAAATCTCATACAAATCCCAACTTGTAGCTGTTTCTCGGAACCACAGACTTTTGGCGTGGGAAAGATGTCATATGCAATTTGTTTTACTCACCCTTTGCAGCATCCTAAGAAGAAGAACCCTTCTGTACTTTTTGTTGTCTGGGAAATACTGCCTCCCCAAGTGGCCATTAGTTTTGGCAACTTTCTCAATATAAAACTCTTCTTAATGTTAGGTGGAAATGTTTTCTTGCAAATTTTATTTGTTTCAACCTTCTCTCTCAAGTTAACTCTTCAAAATTAAAAATAATTTACTTTTTCCTTCAAAATTAAAAATAATTTTACGTTTTCCGAAATCCAACAGTGGTAGCTTGTACTTGTCTAGCTAGGAACATTCCCTTGGGTGATGCTCCCCTTTCTCCAGACCTCTGCCCACAACTGACTGCAAGGCGCCTGGTAATTCCTAAAAAGAGGGGCTACCTCTTTTCCTCTTTCTTGCTCTGGACTGTATCAGCCGGGAATTCCATAACAGCAAATGTCTGACTCAGAGTAAGTGACCTTGAATATTTCTAATGTAGGTCTCCCTCCTTTCTTCCCTCCCTCCCTTCCATCCTTCCTTCTTAGAATCCCTAAGGTCTTTTTCTCTTCTTAAAAGGTATTTATAGCCGGGCGTGGTAGCACACGCCTTTAATCCCAGCACTTGGGAGGCAGAGGCGGACGGCTCTCTGTGAGTTCAAGGCCAGCCTGGTCTACATATTGAGTTCCAGGACAGCTGGGGCTACAGGGAGACCCTGCTTCAAAAAGACCACTTAAAAGATATTTATATTTTTATTTTACGTGTATGAGTGTATTGCCTGCATGTGGGTAAGTGCACCCACATCGTACAATGTGTGTGGAGGTCATAAGAGGACGTCAGAGCCCCTGAAACTGGAGTTATGGATGGGTGTTAGCTGCTATGTGTGTGTCCTGGGAACCGAACCTGGGTCCTCTGCAAGAGCAGCTAGTGCTTTTAACTGCTGAGCCAACTCTCCAGCCTCTTCCTTTCCTTCCTTCCTTCCTTCCTTCCTTCCTTCCTTCCTTCCTTCGTTCCTTCCTTCCTTCCTTCCTTTTTTCCTCCCTTCCCTCCCCCCCCCTTTTTTTTTTTGGTCTTTTTGAGACAGGGTCTCCCTGTAGCCCCAGCTGTCCTGGAACTCACTATGTATCCCAGGCTGGCTTTGAACTCACAGAGATCCGCCCGTCTCTGCCTCCGGAGTGCTGGGATTAAAGGCGTGCACCACCACACTCCGCCTCTCAAGCACCTTTCTTTTCTTTTCTTTACTTAAAAAAAAAAAAAAAAAGTCCACTGGGGCTACAGGGAGACCCTGTGTCAAAAACCGTCCGTCTATTTGGCTTTTGAGTGGTACAGCTTCCTTGACCGGTGGGCAACTACCAAGTTTGTGGGTCCAAGAGTGGGGCATTCAGGTTGATCCCTGGGTGTGTCCCTCAACATCAGAAGCAAGACTACACCTAAGGCTCTTCCCAGCCCAGTCTACACAGAGAAAAGCTTTGCCTCCGGGAAGGCGTGGCTAGAAGCCGGTAGACCGAGCCAAAGCGAGTTCCTCTCCGGTTGAGCCTGACCACCGCCCTGCGTGCCCGCCCTGGTCCTCACCAACCGCAGCAACTTCACGTGTCCTTTCACGCTCAAGCAGAAGGGTGTTTCTTTTGAATGTCTAGTCTCCATCGCGCCCGCAGACCCAGCAGTCAGGCTTCTATTTCAAGCCTTCTCAGCAACTCAAGACTGGGGCCTCAACTTCAACTGCCGCTACTACCGCCAGCTGACTCCAATCCTGATGTGCATGCGCAGGAGGCGGGCGCGCCCCCCCCCCCCCCCCCCTCCCCGCGGGCTGGTCCCTAAACTCTAACCTACCCTCTGTCCTGGAACTGAGCCGCGCGCGGGTCCATGGACGTTTACCTGCCCGGGCACTAATGACCGAATGCTCTTGCTCTTCCCATGAGTCTTCCTGAGGACAGGCACTGGCAGGGTTGGGGGAGGGGAAGGGAGGGACACCCCGGAATGAAAGCCCTGCCTCCTCACCCCTTGAGCATCTCAAATGTCACCTCCTTAGGATGTCCCTTGGTCACCAAGTCTGGAGTAGCCAGTCACTTCTCGGCATTTGTAGCTCATCCAGATTATAAGCATATCTCACCCGCAAAGGTTGATTCTTGGGTACTAAATTGAAGTTCTAGGCTGGGTGTGGTGGCACACGCCTTTAATCCCAGCAGAGGCAGGTAGATCTCTGTGTGTTGGAGGCCTGGCTGGTCTATATATCAAGCTCCAGGCCAGCTAGGACTACAGGGAGACCCTGCCTCAAAAAGAGGACCCCCCCCCAAAAGAAAAATGTTCTGGTGTTCTATGACATAGTCTGATTGGTTATAGAGAACTATATGTACAGTTTTATTTAAAAGCTAGGGGCTGGAGAGATGCCCCGGTGGTTAAGAGCACTGGTTGCTCTTGTAGAGGACCCAGGTTCATTTCCCAGCACCTACATAGTGGCTAACAACTGTCAGTAACTCCAGTTCCAGGGGATCTGATTTCCTCTTCTGACTTCCATTGGCATTGCATGACAGGGGCACACCTACCTATATGCAGGCATATATGAGTACACACATAATAAACAAAATAAGAATAAAATAAAATATTTTTAAAACTAAAAGCTAGGCAGGAGTGGCAGCACACATCTTTAATCCCAGTACTTGGGAGGCAGAGGCAGGCAGATCTCTGTCATTTTGAGGCTAGCTTGGTGTACATAGAAAATTCCAGGTCAACCAGGGTTACACAATGAGTCCTTGTCTCAAAAAAACACAAAAACTAACCAGACAAAAACCAAACGAAAAAACAACTAAAAGCTAGAAGAATAGATTTTGAATGTTTTCAGCACAAAAGTGATTTGGAAGAGACAAATTTACCCTGATTTGAGTATTTCATGTGTATTGAAATATCATGTGGTCTCTTGTAAATATACACAATCATTATGTATCAGTTAAAGTATAAGTTTTTACAAAGCAAGAACCAGTCTGCTTCTGTCTTGGCAGGGTACTCAGCTATGGAATTTGTAGCCTGAACTCACAGCTTGGTCCTTCTATCCTGTCCTTGCCCCTAAGACAGCACTGTCTGGATGTGCAAACCTGTCTTTAGACTACTTACATTTTTGCCTCTTGCTAGTGCTAATTTTTCCACAGGAAGAACAGCTTTCAGTATCTTCATATATTTTATTTTTTCACAAATAAAACCAGGGCTGCACCATGTTGGAACACTTTTTTTTTTTTTT